GAGAGAGAGAGAGAACTGTTGTTGTACTTGGCTGCTAACTGTGTAACTGTAGAAATCTTAAGTGGGGTGGTGCTGAATAAGAACACACTCACTCAGCAAATTTCTTATCCTAGATAAATAAAGGTAAGAAAAAAAAATGACAGATGACAGTAGCTCATGTCAGTAGCTTAGGGAGAGCTGTTATTGAATACCTGCTGTATACATAATTCAGAATTTTGGCTGTCGTCCGATATTTGAATCTAGAGCTCGATACTGACCTAGCACATACAAAAAGAGTGAAGAGAGGGTTTTGAGAGGCAGGGAAATAGAGAGTTAGAAAGACACCGAGAGCATCCTGACCTGTCCACAGTCATTGATTATGTGCTCTTCACATTCCACTGTTTTGATGCGCAAAGTGGACAAGTCTTTTATTAACGCACTCTGTGTCCATCAACAAGCCCTAGTAGAGAGAAAGAGAGCTGTACAGCCCGTCTGTCCACGCCACAGCAGCTCTGCACTTATTCCATCGTTTCCCTCCAGGATCGAATTACGGATACGGGGTGGGGGGGAGAAATCCATAATCCACAAAAACACTCTGTCCGTCACTCCGCGACTCAGACGCTTTTGCCCTGTACTCTAACTCAATAAATAGCTTTTAAGTATGGAAAAGGTATTTTCTTCCCCTGATGAAGAAGGACACTCACTCAGCTATTCCGGCCCATCAACGCATCGTCCGATCCAAACCCACTTCATCAGAGCTGCTTCCTAAACAGTGCAGCTGTTGTTGTGGTCCCATGTTTTCCATCAAATTAGTGCACGTTGCTTCCTATGTTTTAACTCCACACACATCATATTAATGGTCTCTCAGGTGATCAATGTAGCAATGTAGCAACATGCTAAAAGCACGCATGCTTTTAGCATGTTGAGACGCACACAGGAGACGCAGTAGTGTACCTGTGCTGAGTGACAGGAGTCGGGTTTCAGCTCTGGTTCGCATTCATTGATCAGACTCTTACCGGTGTCCTGACACTAAGTGATACACTAACTGTGATTGATGGGCGGATTATGCACACAGCAGCAGAATGAACTGAAATGTTGTTTTGACTTTTATTATGTGGTAAACATGCATCCTTATTAGCAACTTAGCTCAGCTGGCCGTGGTCCATGCTGTTTACTTCCAACTTCATGGGACTCAAATGAGCCTGTCTCATCTCTAATCTTTCCTGCCACTCCAGTGTGGGGTCAAATGAACAAGACATTTTCTTAAAGGTCCAGTGTGTAACATTTAGGAGGATCTGTTGGCAGAGATGGAATATAATATTCATAGGTATGTTATCGTTAGTGTATAATCACCTGAAATTAAGAATTGTTGTGTTTTTGTTACCTTAGAATGAACTGTTTATATCTACAGATGCTGCAGGTCACTAATATATTTGTGGGTGTAAAAGTTAATTCTTGACCATGTAAAATACTTTCTCATTGAGTTTGCTCAGGCGACATAGAGTTGGTTCTGTTGTCATTGGGTGACTAAAGTGTGGAGCTCTGGTCATGTGGATAGCATTGTCTTCATCTGCCTTTGGAGACAGTAAACAACATTTAGAGCTGCCAAGACTTCCCAAAAAACATGAAATGTATCTTTTGAAAAAATATCACTGACATATTGGTTTTACCACTGTCCTCTAGGTCCTACCTGGACATGCTGAAGGTCATCATGTTTAGCTACATGTTCTGGTTTGTCCTCACCATCATCTTCATCACGGGGACCACGCGCATCAGCGTCTTCTGTATGGGCTACCTGGTGGCCTGCTTTTACTTCCTGCTCTTTGGTGGTGAGCTGTTGCTAAAACCAATCAAAAAGATCCTCCACTACTGGGACTTCCTGATCGCATACAACATCTTCGTAATCACCATGAAGAACATTTTGTCTGTGAGTATCTCAAATTGTAAATCCAAATTATTCAACTAACTGCATGATAGACAAATCCTACATACCGTACATATTAGGTGATGTATTGTTTCGATTTTAAAGCATCTGTCTGCATGAATGTGCACACTGAAGAAAAAAAACTATAAACTTCTCTGTTATGTGAAATCAAAGATATAATATAAGTTTTTGTATTCGAGTATATGACAAAGGATTTTTGTTTTTAGATCCTGGCTTGTGGCTACATCAACCATCTGATTGAAAACAACAGCTGCTGGTTGATCCAGTTGCTCAGTCTGGCCTGCACCATCAACGAGTACAAAATCATCAAGAAAGATAAGCGTGAGTTGACTCAACATTTCAGTTCTTTTTATTATGGAAAAAAAATACATTTCGCAAGAAGGTAAGATGTCTGGGCGCCTGGTTAGCTCAGTCCGTAGAGCTGGCGACCCATATACGCAGCGGCCTAGGTTTGAGTCTGACCTGTGGCCCTTTGCTGCCTCTTGCCTCTCTCTCTCTGCCCCCCCTTCCTGCTTCTACCCAGCCATAGGTATCAAAATAAAGGCATGAAGGCCAAAAAAATAATACTAGAAAGAAAAGAAGGTGAGATGTCCCTTTCAGTATTAGAAGGAGCATAAATCCCCCTTTTTGGCTACAACTATTAGTCGTACATTGCACACACCAGACTGTGCGTCCAAGAGTGTGTTTCCCAAGAAGCTGACATTAAACCATTTATGTTTCAGGCCAGTTTAGTTCAGCGCAGCCTGTATCTTACGTAATCCCACTGGCTAACTGATTTACAGTGCACACACGAAACACGACCACTATACTCAGTGAAACAGTAAGATTTATCCACAATCAGAAAATACTGTAAAGAGTTGACATTAACATCCTGGAGCATTATAAATGTCCTCACTTTGACCTGTCATTAGAGGTAATCACAATCAGACTGACAATAATGGTAATATTTTTACATTATCAACACACATATACACATTAGCTGCTTGTATTTAAAGAGAGACTCCATTAATTAATTATTGTGGTGTAAACAAGTCAACAGTTAAAATTTTTTACAAATGAATTGGATTAAATTAGATTGTGTATAACCGTGTTGTGTGTATATTCTAGCTGAATGTGAGCTTCCGAGTAACGAGGCTGGGATCATCTGGGACAGTATCTGCTTCGCCTTCCTGCTGCTGCAGAGACGAGTCTTCATGAGCTACTACTTCCTCCACGTGGTGGCTGATATCAGAGCGTCACAGGTCCTCGCATCCAGGTACGCTGCTGAGGCTGAGGCCCAGAGGTGCTGCTCCCATATTCAGATTCTTCTCGTGTAGTGTTGTGACTGTATGCCTTTAAAGGATGTGTGAAGAAATAATTTATTTGTACAGTATTTGTAAAGGTCACAGCAGGTTGGCAGGGCCTTTTCTGCCATGATATGTTAAAAAGCCTGATATGAAAAAGGTTTATGATTCGAGAAGGATGAAGGCACAAGAACACTCCGACAGTATAGAGTGTGGATTCAGGTTTTCATGACTTTTTCCAAAAGCAAACAACATGTCAAATACAAGACGGAACAATCGACAGGGAAGAGAAGAAAAACTGGTGATGTGGATCAAGCAAACACGTCAGCCAAATCCAAAATACACTCACACACAGTTCAATGTCACTATAATGCGAAAGCTTGTGCATTTTCTGTGTAACAATTTTAACTTGCACAACAGAAACTGATGAGAAAAATTGCCATTCATGACAGAGGAAGTTCAGTAAAATTCAACTTGGCTTGTTTTGTGACTCACTTCCCCGGTATACTGGAGTTAAATCCTAGTTAGATACGTAAATATGGAATCAATGTACCTGTTGAGGAAACGCTGGATGTTTTTGAACATATGATTGGTCACTTATTGTGCGTCTGTGTGTTTTAGGGGGGCGGAGCTTTTTCAGGCCACTATAGTGAAGGCGGTGAGAGCCCGACTCGAGGAGGAGCGCAAATCTGTGGAGCAGCTGAAGAGACAGTGAGACTCCAAATATTTCTCACTCCATGTTGTGTAGAGCTGTGGTTCGGATTTTTTGTACAAATTCTGCAATATTTGAAGTTTGAGTTTGAGAGGGTATTGTCCAAGACTTAAAATTATCTTTAAAATGTGTTAATTAACGTAATCCAGCAGTTGTCTTCTTCTGGATTAGACTTGATACAGCAAATGTATTTAGTCAGTTGTGTCTAAAAGAGGTCGAAGAGCATGCACAATAAAACATCATTGAATCAGTTCAGTTAGTCAGAATAATTAAAATATATGTATTTCTAGGATTTGTATTGATCAAACAAATTCTTGATTCACTGTCAAATCAACATTTTCAGTATTGGGGGAAAAAACATTTGATTTATTGCAGTTTTTGTTGGACTTTTTCTATGCTGCCCAGTTTATACTGTGATTGGTTGGTTTACTTGGCTGTTATTATTCAGTAGTCGTCATGGTGTCAACAAATCCCTTGAAAAGACTAAAACAAGCAATGTGTTGTTACTGTCTGTAGCACTCAGCCCCAAACCCATTGCTACCAGGTTTAAATCTTTAAAAAGTAGGTCACAAATATACAGTTTCATTTCCTTTTAAAGGCAGATTTAAAGGTAGATTTTAGCAAATGTAACTCAAACTGGTATAAACAGCGTATTGGTTGGGGACTATTTTCAGCAGTGGATTAGTATAGGTTAGGCCTAATTTAACCCATAAGTAAGTAAACATGATTCAGAAAGCCATTTAAGATCTGTCCTGGATTAAAAGCAACTCCTGGCTCCGTCTTAACTGTTTCCAGGAAGCCATCTCTCAGTATATCATACTACATAAAGTCAATGTATTTCCACCACTTACAGTTACCTCAGGAGTTACTCATGAGCACTGATAATATCCACTCACCCGCGCTAATGAGCACTCCGCTGTTACATAGCCTACACTAATTTCCATATGAAGCCTGGAGATGTTTATGGTCAGTCTGTTGGGCCGTCGGTGATGTTCCTCTGTGTCGATACTTCGTGTCTCTTCACTGTCTCTCTGATCTAATCAGGATGGAGCGCATTAAGGTGAGGCAGCAAAAGTTTAAGAGGGGCAAGGAGAAGATGCTGAGCTTGGCGCAGGAGTCTGGAGAAGGACAGACCCCCGTCCAGCCTGAGGAAGATGACGATGATGGTATGATGAAGGCTGCCAGCGTCTCTCTGTGCAGTCAAAGTTGGTGTTGAGGTTATGTGATTGCTAGTAGTGCTCAAGGACAATGAGTGTATTAATGCCTAATCAGCCTATTTTATTAATACATGTTGTGTGATGATGTGTTTTCATGAGTATTTAAAGAGCAGCTTAAAAAGACAAAAAAAAATGCTTTGAAGTTTGCAAAAACAAAATCATTTTCTTATGAAATGTTTCATTGCTGTATTTGTGACATTTTAGGAGCACAGCGAACGAAAGCCAAGACCAAAAAAAAGCAGTGGTGGAGGCCGTGGGTTGACCATGCTTCCAGTAGGTTGACCCCACCCCCAATCCCCTTTTTTCTCTTCCTCCACTCTGATTGGCCCTTGTGTCCTTGACCAGAACGCTGAGGATTCCCATACTGCCCCTGGGCTCTGAAGGCATCATCCAGACTTCAGTCATTTTCTGTCTCTATTTAAGGGCCCTTGTACCCGTACGGTTCTCATGTAACTGCACACTGTGTGTGGAGAGGCACTTGAAGATGATCTATAAAACCGTGTCAGTATCGGAGCAGAGCAGGGTTGCCTTAAATAGACACGATGAGACGATGAAGAAAGAGAAAATGACTAACGGCTGGAGGTTTGTACTTGACATTGTTTAAAACATAAACGTCACCATCGGTCTCACCTAAGGAGCCCACAGTAGAGAATCACTCTGTTGTACAACATTTTCATGCAAAGATATGAAGTCGACTCGCCTTTATTCTCAGTACTGGAATAAAGGATGATGGGTTTGTTCATTCTTTGCCTGCAGACATGATCACCAAACAGGTGTAACCCAGGAGAAAAATAACACAGCGAGAACAATTGGATCCAGCAATGGAATATATAAAATGATGACATATCCAGTCTCTTTGTGGTAAACAAAAGAAATAGCAGCCTCTTTATGAGTCAATACAGTGGCCGCCTGTTTGGTTTTGAACTCATGTCTCATATCGTACTCCACCCCCACATGACATTTTCAAATTATTTCTCCATTTTATCTCTTTGTCATTTGATGTTTCATCTCCATATCCCAGCATCCTCCCTCACCCCCCGCCCACTGTGGTTCTGTTCAAGGACATAAGTCAGCCTTGTCTATCCCATTCTAACTACTGCAGACAGGAGTCACTTGCTCTATCAAATAGCTTAAAGGTGACTGTGCTTATTGGAATAAGAGTCTTTAATTGACATTCTCCATTGTGCTTTGTGCTCATAGTTGTATCAGTCATACTAACATTTTTAGATGCGTTGTGTCTTTTCTGTATTTTCTGTTTCATCCTCTCATGTCTGATGTTTTTAAAAGTGTGTAAATATATTGACTTACTGTAGACTTGGTTAAATTATTGATATGTAGCGAATTAAATATAATTTAGAGGTAAGTGGTTTGATTTTAGTGCGTCTTCCTTTCAGTGAGGGAACCTTCTCTGAGCTTCATTTTAATGTTGTGAAAACGATGAATGAATCCTCTATTTTGACTGAATGTAACTACACTTTACCCTCTGCCCCTCCCCCTTCAGTGGTTAGAAGTGGAGACTATTACTTGTTTGAAACTGACAGTGAGGAGGAAGAGGAGGAGGAAGAGAAAAAAGATGAAGAACCGCCAAAGAAGTCTGCATTTCAGGTGACAAGTAGTGACTCATTTTCCCATCGGTTTCAGTGTGAAACAAGATTATAATTCTGTCCTTGTCACGGTTTAATCAATTGATCACATCTTTTTGTTATTAATGAGGATGTTGCCTTTAGCAGAGGTATATAATAACAAAATATATTTACTCAAGTACTCTACTTTGCTTCAAAATTTCCAATTTGTATACTTCAAAGGGAAATATTGTACTTTTTACTCCATTACATTTGCTGTATCCAGTGGTGGAAAATATACTCAGATCGTTTACTAAGTAAAAGTACAAAAATTCTCATAAACTACATAAAATACTAAGTATTGATTTTGCTGTAAAATGTCTCCTGTAATATTATTATGTGTGATATTTTTTTAATGTGTAATCAGAAAGCTGGTTGTGGTTAAGCGGAGTATTAACTACTTTATATCCAGTTATATTAGTTCAGAGGTTCCCAACCTTAGGGTCGGGCCCCTCCAAAGAGTCACAAGATAAATTTGAGTGGTTGTGAGATGATTAATACGAGAGGAAAAAAGAAGTTCTGATACACAAGTTTGAATGCATTTTTTTTTTTACATTTCCCTCATGTTAGATTTTTTGTGAAATATTAGATAATTTTACGTCTTTGAGCCTTAAACATTATTTAAATGAAATCACGAGAGAAGTTTAGAGAAGAAATGTCGGATGTTGGAACTCACAGACATCTGTTATGTGACAAGGAACCCTAACTTAGTTGCAAACAGTTGGTTTTATCACTAATAATGAGTTGTATTTTATAAACGTGTGTTTTTTATTCTCTTAATAAGAAAAGTAATAACTAGCAAGAGCAGCAGTTTGATAAATGTAGTGGAGTAAAAAGTGAAAATGAAATGAAGTGTAATTTCCACCCCTGACTGTATTGAGTGCTTGTTGTTACTAGTGTCATGCAAATTGAAATTCTATATGCTAAATGTTCACTAATTAACTAATTAACTAAAAATACTGCTTGCACAACATATCTTGTGTGAATTTTGCTTTTCATACTGTGCATATTTTGCTGTTGATTCTAGTTTTCTTGAGTAAATTTTAGAGTTTCTGACTGTTAATGGATTATTTTTGAAGTTGAAGGTGTTTAATACTAACATGTAGAAGAATGATAAACTATCTGAACAGTTTTCTCAATTACTAAATCCTTTCTTGTTCACTGTCTCCTCACACAGTTAACCTTTGTTGTTTCTGATCATACTAACCCTCTCCCACTCTGTTGTCTCTCTGTAGCGAGCTATTGGAAAGTTTATCTTTGCTCTTCTGGCTTTGCCCAAGTCTGTCATTAGGCTGCCTAAAACTATCCTGCAGTATGTAGTCAAGGCAGGCAAGGTACTCACCACCAGAACTTACACAGCTCGCTTTCTGTATGAACATCTTTTAGTAACAGCTAACACCACAGCAAACTGCCTTTCCAGCTCATGTTCGGTGCTCTGCTTCGGCACAAATATCAAACATGCAGACAACTTTATCCACATTACAAGCGAACACTAATTTAGCATAAATCATCAACATGAACTGGAAGGGAAATTCTTTCACCTGTCTGGCTTGTTGGCTTGTTGTGTTGCATGAACTGGAGCTTTATTCTGACATGGTGTTGGTTGTGTTTACTGTCTGTTTTGATCTTTCTTGTGTGGTTTCCTGCTTTGAGCTTAAAGCATTTGTGAGTTATCACGATCAGTGAAGCAACAGCAGGGTTAGCAGTTGGTGTCTGTGCCTCTGATGAAAGACACTGTTTGTTTTTTGTGATACACTGGTGGTTGTGCATGTTTCACAGCTTGAACTGAACAATGACGACTATTTTCTCAAGTTTTTACTGGAATCTGAATGTTTCTTGTTACGTTCAATGAAGCTATGTAAAGTCTCCTGCTGAGAAGCATTGAATATATGAGCTACGTTCGAATGTTATGTTCAAATAATTTTGAAAAGTTAAGTTATTGTTTTTGAAAATGATCTGTAATGAATTTGTAATTAATTACCAGACTAAAACCACCTGGCATTGGTGTTTATTTTTCCTTTTGCTTGTTGTTGCTCTTGCATGATGATTACCTCAGTGACTTCTCTCATCTTCTTCACTTCCTTCACTGATGCTACTACTTTTCTCCGTTCTCCAGTTTCTTTATCATGCCTGGATCACAGACCCCAAAGCTGCCCTGAAGGCACGAGCCAAAGAGAAACGCAAATTTTGGAAAAAATACACCAAAGGAGTTAGACACAGAAAAAGCAAGAAAAATGGTGAGCAAGTTCTAGAGATAAAAACAAGCTTTAACTTTATAGTGTGGCACAGTAAGGCATTACTAGTAATAATATTACTTTCCCCAGTAACTAGTTATGTAAGTAATTATTGTTGGCAGGGAGTAATAAGTAAAGTAATAATACTACTTTTTTAAGTTTAGTAACAAGTATGCATGGTGTCTTTCTTGTATTACAGCGGGTCATGTGGTCATAGAGGTTGGCGAGCTCTCGGACGGGCAAGAAAAAAGTGAGGAGAACAAGAAGTCTGGTAGTCCAGGTTGGTTTCTCCTCAGGAAAACTGTTTTATGAGACCTTGAAAGCAAAGATTTACTTGATTTTGTGTTCTGTTACGTTTAGTAATTCATTAAAGTTTTCTCACTAATGTTAGGAACCACCAATTTGTAAGTTCTGCTTTATGTGACTGAATTTGTAATAAACTGTAACAGCATTTGTGCCATATGCCTCTTTCCCCCAGACAACATCATCAAGCGAGTGTTCAACATCATAAAGTTCACCTGGGTGCTCTTCCAGACGACCGTGGAGAGCTTCACCAAGTGGATGAATGAAATGTGCAGAGAGTACATCGACATTTCCACTGTGCTGCGTATAGAGCGCTGCATGCTGACCAGAGAGGTCAAAAAGGTACTGAGAACCTCCACGTTGACTTTGGGCGTGCAGTTTATGAATTAACATTTGTCTTGTTTTCTAACTATTTACAAACTAATTTAAGGACATTAATGTGATTAAGAGAACTAGTAAATTATTAACTCCTCTTCTCTTACCAGGGTAACGTGCCGTCCAGAGAAAGCATCCATGTCTACTACCAGAAGGCCATGAGGCTCAACATGTCCCGGCAGGCCAGTATGGATCAGCTAAGCGATGACGAGTCGGCCTCAGGCTCCACCAGGGTCCGAAGAAGGCGAGGAGGCTACCGCATGGAGAGCCAGGACTCCACAGCCTCCAGAGACAGCATATCCAGGTACACAACAGAGCCTGAGAGTGGTTGCAACATGGGAGACCAAATGTGTCCCCCATTATGAAATGTTGTAGGGAGTTTTTATCTGTGAGAGAAATTATTTCATGACATCTTCATCTACCCATGTATTTGTAAAGATTTGTTACAGTTTTCCTGCATCACAATTCCTCAGATTCATGTTTTTTTTTTTTGAGGAATTGTTCATTATCAAGGAAGAAGTTGTTTAATAATATGTGGTTATCATCACATTTAGCCATTTCATCCTCATTCTCTGCTGCGTCTAATGCTTTTTACGGTCATGTGAAGAGATAGAAGAAGATCATTTCCATTTTTAATGCTTTTATTACACAGTATGTAGGGGGATCGCCTCTCTCTGTGTAAGCTAACCTAGATACCATCTCATCCTTATCATCACTGATCATTGCATCTCTCACTCTCATCACCTCTCAGTGCCTTTACCGAGGCAACCACACTGTTTTCTCGCCAATCCACCCTGGAAGACCTTGATGGAATGCCGGAGTGCATTCCCAAAACCAGTGAACGCGCCAGGCCCAAACTGCGAAAGATGTACGGCCTGGACCAGTCCAATTCATCAATGGATAGTGGCAGCAGCTTCATGTCCAGGTGCCTGGCATCTGCATCACCCATATACACAACCTGTGTTACTTATCATTACTTACTTATCAACTTGTCTATTTTAACTCCATCTCAGCTCATTGCATGACTGTTCTACAACCCTTTGTTTACTACATCCTGTCAAAAACACAAAAATAACCAGAAAAATGCATGTCGCAGTGTTACAGCGTATAGTCTTTTCCTGCTCAGTAATTGCCTTTCTAGTATTTAAAGTTGGAATAAATATTATGTTTCTTGTTTCAGTGTTTGCTGATACTTACTGTGTCGTACATGTTTCAGTTTTTTTGGTAAAACTTTACTTACCCCCCTAAAAAAATCGTAAAACACAGTAATTTTATAAATTGTCCTTATAGAGGTTATACTTAAAAATTGTGTTATATCTGCTTATAGCTATAATACAGTGTGTTATAAACCATATAGTAAATGTTTATTTTACATACTGCTCATAAATGCTTTCCTTTTTAAAAAGGAAGACATATGCACTCATCCATGGGTAAAGTGTGGCATAGAAAATCCAATTCCAGTCAAAGAAGTGGATGGTTAAAAATAAAAAGGCTTCAATAAATATGGGTTGGTACATTATGAGAACACAGAAGTCGATATCAGCCCAACTGGCACCCTGAGAAAATCCTTTTTTAATTTATTCTGTATAAATTGTGAGATTCTATTTCCAGTTTTTTAATTTAGTAGAAATATAAGCAAATAAACTTGAACACATACTGACTCGATTTTGTCCCCCTCAGTGAAGCGACCCAGTGCGTCACACTCTACTCCAGACAGGGCACCACAGACACCATAGAAGAAGTGGAGGATGAGCAGGATCAAGGGGAGGAGAAGCAGGAGGTTCCCTGGGAATTCCAGCAGGTAGACGAGAGTGAGGGGGCCGAGGGCGGCCTCTGGAGTGACGGAGAACCCAGGGAGAAAGAGAAGGAGGAGAGTGAGGGCCAGGAGGGAGTGGAGGGTGAGAAGGAAGCAGAGGTACCAATGGACCAGGAGAGCAAAGAGAGAGAAGAGGGTCCCTGGGAATCCTTTGGTCCTGATGAGGGCCCCTCCCTCAGGCCCGAGGGAGTGGAGTCTGCCTCTTCCGCCCAGGAGAAGGACTTCACAACAGAGAGTGAGGACGGGGGAGGACAGCAGGACTTCACGCAGTCAGAGGGGCGAGCAGGGCTCCTCTACACCCCTGATACAGATGCTTCCAAAACATCTGACGCTGACGTGCCTCCCAGCTACAGCAAGGCTGTCAGCTTTGACCGTCTGGAAGTTAGCGATGATGAGAGTGACATGGATAGGAAGAGGCGTATGGTTATGACCTCTGACAGCCGCTCAGACAGCAGGTCAGACATCATGTTGCCCTCTATGACCACCGAGCTGACCGCCAGCGAGCTGCTGCTCAACAAGTAAGTCCAAAAACAAGAAGCCTCACAGGGATCACAATCAACAGTTGTTTGTCTCAAATGCTTCACTACAGATTCCTCTTGTTAAAAAAATAGGGACAAGGCATCCACACAGGTCTGATTATTGATATATACAGAATGCTTATTGAGTAGTCCCCAAAATGTTTGGTGTGGTCATTTTGTGTGTCATTGTAATTTTGTGTCTTTACCTCTCTCTCTCTGGTCATTTTTAGTTCCTTTATGGTTGTTTTGCATCTCTTTGTGGTTATTTAGTGTCTCTTTCAGTGACATTTTGCAGGTGAAGTCCAGAAGCATTCAGTAATCCGTCCATGATTGCAGGCATTTTTGTAAATCAGGAATAACCTGCAAGTTTAGAATTATGCAAATTAATTGAAGGAAGAAAAATAATAAAATACCAAATCATTCATTCATCTCTCTGTGTCTGTCCAGGATGTTTTATGATGATGAGCTGGAGCAGTCAGATACATTCTACAAAAGGCAGCCTCTGATCCTCCAGCTCTGCTACGCCCTTTACAACATGCTGGTGGCTCACTCAGAGATGGTGTGCTACCTGGTCATCATCATCAACCACATGGTGTCGGCCTCATGTGCCACCCTGGTCCTTCCCATCACCATCTTCCTCTGGGCCATGCTGTCAGTTCCCCGGCCCAGCAAGCGCTACTGGATGACTGCCATTATTTATACTGAGGTCTGAAGATGTCATTTCTAAAACATTACCTTTCTAAAAACATTTACATAAAAGTCAAATCAAAATCAAAGTAGATTTGTGTTATTATTTATTTTTTATTAGTGTTGGTAACAGTGTTGTTCATTTGGATATAAAGCTGTGGTACAGACCTGAACTAAATTGTTTCTGCTGTGAACGGCAGAAAGTTAAGACTTTTAAGTTTGTAAAGATCAGTTTATTATATTTATGTATTTTTTGACACTTTTTGACTGATGTATTTATTACACACTTAATTACATTGTAGTCTTAAGAGTAAGATCAGAATTTGTGTCTCTTTCTACAAACTTTGACATACTTCTGACAGCTTCACTGACATTAGTTTTGTTCTCCCGCCAGGTCACCATCGTCGTCAAGTACTTCTTCCAGTTTGGCTTCTTCCCCTTCAACGAATCACATTCAACAAAGTTAAATAAGAATAAACCATATTTCCCTCCTAATATCATTGGTGTGGAGAAGAAGGATGGTTACGTACACTACGACCTGGTCCAGTTACTGGCTCTCTTCTTCCACAGATCCATTCTCAAGGTGCCTGCAAACACAGACTATTTAGACAATTAACCTGAATATGTGCATTAAGGATAAATATGGTGACATTCAAATTCCACTAAAAGAACAAAACAAAAAATAATTGATCCCACAAACAGGTATTGTGCCATAGACTTCCGTTGGATTGAGTGAGATGTTCCTTTATTACCATGAACACAACACACACTGTAGTTTATTTACACTGTCCTGCTGCTGTAAATATTCACAAGAGCACCAAATGTGTGTTAACCTGTTGCTGAAAATTAGTTGCATTAAGTGCCTAGCTGTTTATTTTGTATTTTTATACTTTAGTACTTTAGTTTTAAAGAAAGTGTTCACACATTGTTAGTTTTGGTCTTTTTGAGCAATCTGAATATTTGAATATTGTCAGCTTTATCAGTTAAACACAATAAGCCAATTAGCGCTTCCCATAGATATAATTGTTCTATATATAAATGAGGACTTTTTATTTGTACCTATCCCTTTAAGTGATGGGGGCAAAACCTGTTTTCTGTGTCCCTATGGACACCTGAATATTGGTTATCAACAATATTGTTTTTGACGTCTCTGCAAACTTATAGCTGATGCCAATATTTGTAAATCACTGTGATAATACTCAATGTATTCAATCCCCTGTGCTGATATTCAGTATATATAATCATGCCACAACATTTCAAAACAAGTCTGTGTGTTTACATAAAATGTATTCTTGACAGAAAGCTTCTAAAACATCACAAACATTCAACTAATTGAATGTTCGTGGGTTTTTAAGTGGTTACATCTATTTAATTGAAGGGAAACTCTACAACACATTGCTTCCTTAAGGATTAATTACATTTACAGACAACAGAAAACCAAAATATGTAAAATGCAAAGAAAATTAAATTCCTCTGATTGATTGTGTATCTGTGGTCAGGGAGGAACCGCATGAGCTTTTAGCAACACAGCCTGGCTGATATCCAATATTGAATAAAAGGTATTGACCCGATCTTGCACTTTTCTTTCTTTCTCAGCAAATGAAGGAAAATCTGTAGAGTGCAATGTTAGCCGTTCATGGGACAAACACTGTGACTGTGATTGTTTGGGACGTACTGTGAGATATTTGTATGCAACTGGACCAGACTGTCAAATCATTTGGGCATGAAATACAACATGGTCTCTTCTCTTCCTCTTTCCGTCTCCAGTGTCATGGTCTGTGGGACGAAGACGATCCCAAAGAGAGGAAAGCAGCCTCTCGTCAGAGTGAGTCAGAGGACGAAGGTAAAGACAAGGTGGAGAGTGATAAAGAGTCCGAACCCGCCTCCTCTCTGATCAGTGAGAGGAGAGGCTCCAATCAGACCTTGAGATCCATTAACTTTGGGACCTCCATTGATTCCGGACACGTCCTGGTGCACTACCCACAACAGCAGACCTACCAGCGCCGCAAGAGCTCCAGTGGAGGCTCGCACATCTCTCACCGATCTCTCCACTCTTCTGCGCGGTCCAAGAGAGGTAAAGATCCTTGTATATTTTATCTTGTCTGTTTCTTATTACCAGAGGTGTGGACTCGAGTCAGACTCACAAAATTATACAAATACTTCATTTCAGGACGAAAGGTATGTTATTTAAAAAAGTGTGCCACAAATAATTTACTTTTCCCTTTATGTGCTGAAACAATCAACGTGAACACTATTCATTCCCAGCAAGTCAGCACTTAATTCCCCAGATCCACTTTGTTTGAACCAGTCCAACAGCATTGTGGGCGGCTGTCAATCAGGAGGTAGAGCGGGTCATCTGCTAATCGAAGGGTTGGTGGTTTAATCTGGCTGCTCCCTCTGCATGTTGAGCAAGATACTGAACCCCAAATTGTGTGAATGTGTGAATGTGACATGTAATGTAAAGCACTTCAAGTGGGTGGAAGACTCGAAAGGTTTAAAAGTTCTAAAAAATGATACCAAAGATAGTTTAGTTTAGTTTGTTCTGTTGTTAAAATGGCATTNNCATTATGACTTGTTTAGGACTTGTGACTTGCAGAACAATGACTTGGTCCCACCTCTGCCTCCTACTAATTAGACAACTGCTTCAAAACATGAGCTTGAATGGGGAAAGTCAACAATTAACACTCTCTCCCTTAATGCAAAGCCTAGAGAGTAACAAGCAGTAACTCTTCTAAACAATAATAAACAGAAGGAATCATTTGGGTTCTGTCTCATAACAAACTCAGTTTTCTGTGGTCTCTAGCCTTGACCCTTTGGATTTGGACTCTTTGTTTGAGGATCTCTGTTGCTGTATCAGTGACTCAAGACCTTGTCACAGTTAATTTACAACTCGAAATGTAAATTGTTTCCACAGGAAGTACTGCTTCCCACAACAGCAGCCGCAAGGATGGCAGTGAGGCCAGCGTCCATCAGAAGACCCGCAAACAGATGATCATGGAGAAGCTGAGGGAGCAGCTCCTCAAAGGAAAAGCTTTCATCATAAAGCGGTACAATGAAGCATAGCTGGGTCATAAAAGTTGAGGCAGCTGGGGTTTTTTTTGTCTTTTAATCTCCACCCACAGCTGCTTACCGACTGTAATTATACAACAAAGCGTGTAACTTTATGAGGGCATTGATGAGAACTGTGCTCAGCAAGAATTCTAGACGAATAATGGACGATGCATTGTGGAAAATCATATCAGTGATGCAGCAGCTAAAACCTTTCAAAGGTCTAAATTTAGACCTTTAATTACAGCATTCCCGTTAGGCCAGTCATTGTAATTTTTGTAAGTGCTGTTATTGTTATTGTTCTAAATTTAATCACAGTGGAACAAGTGGTTTCTGAGATATTACATCTACAATAGTAACTGAAACACAAAGAGAAGATAATTCAATCATTTATGTTTTTTTCAAAATAAAACCAGTGGTGTCTGTCAACTTATGTATTTCTCTAACCTTTATTTAACCTGATTGAGATTAAATCTCTTTTTTTTTAAGAAGTTCCTGGACAAGATGGGCAGTAATAATATTTCTAATACAAAGATTTAATCCAAAAACAACCTAAATTGTCCCTTAAATCAACCCAAAGCCTGTCATGAACCATAAAGATTACTAAAACCAATCCAAACAATAATTTACTGAGATTATTACATTAAGATTATAAAATATCTCAAAACATTAGCAGCCAAAAGAGATGATTTCTGTAGCAATGACAGCATAAAAGCTCTTAAACCCAGTTCAGAGCAGTCCTAAAGAACTCTACAGAGCTTATATGACGTACCTGGACCTGTTTCACCTGTTTTTTTCACTTTTAGTAACATTATTTTTTCTTTTTTCTCTGTAGGTTCATGGAGATCTACCTTCCTATAAGGCAGTTCTTCCATAACTTGATCCATCCAGAGTACAGCGCAGTCACAGACGTCTATGTGCTGATGTTCCTCGCCGACACGGTCGACTTCATCATCATTGTGTTTGGATTCTGGGCCTTTGGTGTAAGTTTTAGATTCAAATTATTCTTTTCACCTGAAACCACAAACAAAATCACTTATGGGAAGATTAACATTCATGCGTATCCCCTCTAGAAACACTCAGCGGCAGACATCACGTCCTCTCTCTCAGAGGATCAGGTGCCGGGACCTTTCCTGGTCATGGTGCTGATCCAGTTTGGAACCATGGTGGTGGACCGGGCCCTCTACCTCAGAAAGTCCGTCATGGGCAAGGTCATCTTCCAGGTCATCCTCCTCTTCGGCATCCACTTCTGGATGTTCTTTATCCTGCCAGGAGTCACAGAAAAGTAAGAACTGTACTTCACATTCGAGGTGCCAAACATGTATGTATTTATTGGTCTCTTCAGATAAAGAAAACCATGCTTAAAATATCTTCTGCATTAAGTTTTAATATGATTTTTTTTACAGCTTAAAGGAACTTTAAAAGAATTATGAATGTTTGAGTCTTTGTTCTGCCTATAAATAGGAAAAAACGTAAGTTTTACAAACTGTCTCTCTTCTCTTTCCCTCATAGGCGTTTCAGCGAGAACATAGTCGCCCAGATGTGGTATTTTGTCAAGTGCATCTACTTCGGACTGTCAGCCTATCAGATCCGCTGTGGTTACCCCACCCGCGTTTTGGGAAACTTCCTCACCAAGAGCTACAATTATGTCAACCTCTTCCTGTTTCAAGGGTGAGTTATGCTGGGAAAGTATCATTTCTTCCAGCTGGGCAAACAGGTCCGAGGCTCTGCTTGTGTCTAGCTGCTGTTGCTAGAGATTGAAAGGAGACAGAGTAGATTACACCTGGAGTTAATTTTGTCAAAATTGTGTAAACAAGTTGTTTGTTAAAGGAGACAGCAGCAGTATTAAGCTTTTTCAATGTCAATGTGCAAAAATACAGAACATTTGCTCCAGTTTGGCCAGATATTGTCTCTGGAAGCTGCCTCTTCTTGACATCTGCACACTCAGTCCCAGATTTACAGCAGACTAGTTGTAACTAAGGTGTAAATGCAAATATAGTGAAGTAAAAAGTAGATTACTGGTTCACAAATATACTTGAGTAAAGGGTAGAAGTACTGTTTTTAAAAGGAACATGAAAAGTACTCGTTCCTACTGTTTAACTCATGTACTCTGTTACTACCCATCTCTGCTCTGTATCATTATAAATTGTTTGTCTTTGGGTTTCGATCTGTTGGTTAGATAAAAGGTAAAGACTTTACAATACTTTCTGACACTTTGTAGACTAAAGGCGATGAAAATAATCACAATTCTAATCATGCCATGGTTATGTTATGTAATGCTCATTATTCATGTAATATATTTTAGATTTGGAAACCACATCTTTAGTTATTAGATTATTATATATCTGTTAAAGTAAAAATAGGTTCAGCATATGTCATTTAATATTTTTGGGTTTAATGAACACCACATACCATTGTGTGTTCTGCAATTTTTAACTTCAACTTCTCCAGACTGTTTGTTACTATATACTGTACGTTGGATATCATTTTAAATAAGAGAA